TGATTGATATCTAGTATGCATGATAGGATTAGTGCGATTGAACTCTAGTATGCATGCTAGGATTATAATGATGAGACCTATAATATTGAATCCTTCAAATTAACATCAAGTTAAATATCTTCAAATTAACTCTAGAGCAATAATTACTTACAAAATAATAAGTTAAACCCAAAGACATAATAACCTTACAAATCTTCAAGTTGATCTAAAACCTTTTCTAAACTCCCTTGAAAATTAAAGGTATTGTTAGGCAATTTTGTGAACTTCAAAGTGAGAGGTTCTTTGTGAAAGGAATATTTGAAGAAAAATGAGGATCTTTTACGTTTTAGGCTCCACATCTAGGAACACCCTCTTAATAGTAGTGACATAGCATTTAAGGAATAATAAATCAAAATCAAGAATTCTACTCTCTTCAAAGACCTTAGCAAAGCCCATAGTGATTCCCTTGGGTTTGTTAAACAAATAAGAATACACTGTGGGGTCCACTACATGGTTTGTCGAAGAATTTTATAAGCCTATAGTCCCCAAAACATAATGGCAAAGTCATTTAGGTGGTCCTTGATCTTTTTAAGATGCGCCACCTCAACCTAAAACATTTTTCACTCATTTTTAGGGCTAATGCATGTTCGGATCCTCAATGTTTTTTTATAACTTGGGTCTTTTTTAAGTCACGCATAGCTACATTCTTGACTTTTAGGATTCCTTCCAATTCCATCACCTTCCTCTTCTTCTTCTTCAACGATTGCGCTTGGTCATTTGTAATAGCTCTTTTTATCTCTAATGCCTTCTTTAGTAAGGCCTCTATGTATCTCAATTTGGTTTTTAGCTCTAAATAAGTAGCACCTACCTCTAAGGAATGCTAATCTAAGTCTCTTTGTAATTGATCGGTTAAGTGACATAGCCTCTTCGACTCATTTTTCACTACCTACCACCTGCATATGCATGAGTTTGTAGCTACAACACCTAAAAAAAGAGAGAAGAAAGTAAATAGATAAGAGAAAAATATAATTATTCACCATTAAGGGTTAGCGATAGAGGTTTTACAAGCATCTCACCTCAACTGACCTTTATAATAATCGACTTTATGTGGTTATTAAGAGAGAAGTCTTTTTAATTTTCCATATCCTTTGGCACTTGAGTCAAGTGCCTAGGGAGACTAGTAAATTTTATCCCTTAAATGTCATGGAAAGTCAAATTGCTCGCCAAACAAATTGGCTTACAACTCCTTTTACTTGAGAGAGAGAGAGAGAGAGAGAGAGAGGAATGGCGACCACTAGATAGGAAATCGACCTTTTAATGGATTTTAACAACCTTTTTCATACCTAGGTGCCTAAAAGAAAGAGCTCGTGAAATGTCTTTATTTCTTTTAATAGATAGGATTCTCCATTTTGAAGAAGGAACTTCTAAGCTATCCTTCATTAGGCTAAGTGTCTCCTTAATAATAGAGAAGAAGAAAGTGATGACACCGCCCATTCCCTTTTCTTCGACCTAGGGATAGGCTCTAAGGATGTGGAATTCTTTCTTCGTTTCTTATCTCTTTCATAACTAGTATAGAATCAAAAAGCGAGTAGAACCTCGCTAAGCTCTTCCCCTAATCACTTAGAGAAGCTAGATCTTTGTCCTTTGATCTTTAATAATGATAAGAAGAGAAGCACTTACAAAAGGAAAAAAATTAGCCGAGTGACAATGAGCGAAGAGTAACGGAAGATAAAAGCCAAAAAAAAAAAAAAATTCAATACCACTAAGGCTTGAGTCCACGATTGTTCTTTCTATCAAACCATTAGTTCTAAATGGCTCCCTATCTCTCTTTAAAATTTTAAAGATCTCCTTTTCTACTAATGTAAGAGAGAAAGGATAGTTGTAATTACTAGTGAGAGTCGGCTAGAACAAGGGACACCCCCACATATCTACCATCTTATCTTATATTAAAACTCTGAGTGCAATGCACAATGAACCATTCATTATGTCATTCCTTGACATGGTCTTCCTTCTCAATCAACAAGTCGCCTAAATGACTCCTTCTCTATTTTACGAATCTATAGAACCATCGGTCTCTTTGTTTGCCTCCTAAGATCCCAAGCATGATTAAACAAGCCCTACAAAATCTCAAAATGGGGTTGACCCTATGGGGCTCACACAATCGGTCAAAAGCTAAAAGGATTGCTCACCCATTAGGATGGAGTTAGCTAACACACGGATTATAGCGCTAGAACACAATGCTTAGGAAATTTCGGAGAGGAAACATATAACCATAAGAGATCATCATACCGGGACACGGATATCATAATGCTTACTTTTGCATCCGGAAGGTTGAATGCTAATTATATTTCTAGTTAGGGGAGCTTACGTCTCATACTCGGGACCCAACTTATCGTTGTACATCAACAATCTAGCAATGCTCTCTCCATTAGGATAGTCATTGTTATATGAGGTTAGGAGCGATCTAACCACCCCTAGAAAAACATCTAAAATCCCTATACTTTTAGAAAGCCCGGTTCCGTTACTAAAAAAGCCTTAGACCCAATAGTATCAACACCGGTCATGTTCACTATTGAAACAACACAAGGAAGAAATAACAATTACTTAGGCTAAAATGCTCTTATCGGATAAAAATCAAAAGAAAAACCTTAAAAGCATCCGTTTTGACGAAGATCGCGCCACTAATGGGAAAGGGGAGAAATGAAAATAGAGTAGAAAGAGCCTACTATACAAGTTGCATTCATGAATGTTTATATAAAAGCTCAAATTACCAAGAGTTTCATGTTTCAATCTCTAAACAATTTTCTCTCATTTGAAAGTATTTAAATATAAAATATTTTTTCCAAAGAGCCTTCTCTTGCCATTTCCAATGAACTGAAAAGTACCAAACTCTTACTTTACTCACATGAGCAATGTTTCTCTATTTTACTGAACGAGTCTTCCCTAAGTTTTTCACAACTCATCAATATATACTATGATTTGTTGGTAGATGGCAACAGAAAACGTTATATAGTTACTTGGTGAATTGATACTGTATAGCTTCGTGAAATTTGTAACGAGAGACGGAAATTTTTTCATTTGTTATACATTTTATGAAAGAATCCGGTGTGTTGATTGGATGACAAATTTTGGAAATGGTTTATTGCTGGTGTTCCTCCTCACAATAATAATCCTAGCTCTTCTCGAGTCATATTCATTTTTTGCTAGATCAAAATCTTAATGATTGCGGTATAGCTTACCGCTATGCTGTTTGTATTAATTTAGTTTTCTATTTTAATTAGAGCTTAGGTGGCCCCTGACCCAAAAAAAAAAAAAAGAGGGTATATGATAAGCATCATCGACAGTCGCAACAGTCCATTTGTCACTATATTTTTCAAATGAAGGGCAAGTACTGATCATATGTACATTTCAGCGCATCAAATGTTGGGAAAGATATGACATAACAGTACTGTTTAAGTTTGCATAATTCTTTCATTTAAAAGAAAAAAAAAGAAAAGAAAATCTAAATTCTTGACATGTGCATTCATCAGGGTTTTGTAGAATTATTAGAGAAAACTAAAAATAAAAAGAATGTCAATAATTAAGTGTATTTTCCAGACCGACATCCTCTTTCTCTTTGTACAGATTCTGACCCACTTTGCCAAGCAGTCCATTCTCCCTCTCTCTCTCTCTCTCTCTCAAGCAAATAGTCATGGGGCAAGGGGTTGCATCAATGGGGACCGAGCTCGTATTTCCTTTCCGCCTTTCAATTTCAAAATCCACAAACAGACAGAAGCTTTATCACAATCAAATTATTTATTGTTCTTTAAGAATAAGAAAAACCATATAGTAATAGAATATTAGCAGCAAAGGAGTATTTTACTAGTGTAAAAAAGAATGATAGCAGTAGTATAAATAACTATTTCCCATGAGCATGTCTGCTGGAGTTCAATCACACAAGTAATCATGCTATAGCTGGTGTAAGTGCACAGAGAAAGAGACGAAAGAGTTTTTGCTTTTTAACTCTTTTACCTACCGTATGTTAAAAGCCTGTAATTATCAAACGTCTTATGATATCTCTCTTTCTCTATCAACCAAGGGGTGATTAAAATCTTTTTAAGTTTCTTTTTACTTGGATTGTTTTATATCTGCTGTACTTTTTATGTGATGGAAAAGGTTGCATTGAGTAAACCAAGGTTTAAAGTTTAAACTTTATAATGTACAGGGAAAGAAATTATTTGCCAATACAATTATTAGAAGAAAAAAATTTAATATATACTTTCTAGCTAAGACTTGAAAGAGGACAGAGGAAAAGACAGAAAGTGCACGTCAGAAACAAGCCTGCTGGTTTGGATTTCGGTTTTGGTTGTGTGGAGGGCTTCAAAGGAATCCTTTCTCATCCTCATCTCTCTCTCTCTCTCTTTCTCTCTCTCTCTCTCCACGCATACGGACAGTCATGTTTTCGTTTCATTTCTTTATGTATGTATGGTTTAGATTTAATTGATTTGCAGATACTTTGTTTTGGTTTTGTTTAATCTTCTTGGTGTTAGAGCAAACAGCTAGCTAGCTAGCTAGGAAGCAAAGGCTTGTTCTAGTCTTTTAGAAGTTTTGGTGTTAATCCACTTAGGAACTTATTTAATTTTTTCCTTGTCCATTTTTTGTTCTTTAGCACTGTACTTCTTTTCTTTCTTCTTAGGCCTCTTAGTTCTCAAGGGTATGATGAAAAGAGAAGTGATATCAAGAAGAAGCAGGCTACATAGAGAATGAAAGTGTATTTATTACATATATACTGAATTCACAGAAATTTAAGGCAGGCTGAAATCAGCTTCTCTGCTTGGTCTTATTACTTTCCACTTTTATTAGCCTTGCCAAAATAGGGTTTCCACTCAGATCCTAGGACATTTTGTCACACATGTAAAAAAGGTTGATCTGTGGCTCATGAATGCATATCTTGTAGTTTGTGTCATCTTTCATAGAGGCATGTAATTATTTCTTTAATATAGAGAGAAAAGATGATGAAAGGCTTGGTAATGGATGAGAATATGTCCAATTTAACTTCTGCATCTGGTGAAGTAAGTGCTTCTTCAGGCAGCAGAATTGAAACAGCTGGCGCTGTGTACCCACAACACTCCTTTGATTCAACAAATCAACCTCCACCAAAGAAGAAAAAAGTCTTCCAGGAAACCCAGGTTTCAAATCAAAACCATCACATCTTGCTTGCAAATTAGCTATATTATATAGCTGTTCCATTACTATTACTATTATTATTATAATTGTGTATCTTGATACTGGTTTCAATTTTTCATCAGACCCAGATGCAGAAGTGATAGCTTTGTCTCCCAACAGTCTACAGGCAACAAACAGATTTATATGTGAGATCTGTACCAAAGGATTTAAAAGAGATCAGAATCTCCAACTTCATAGAAGAGGGCACAACCTGCCATGGAAACTAAAGCAAAGAACAAACAAGGAGGTGCGAAAGAAGGTATATGTGTGTCCAGAGGTTACATGTGTGCACCATGACCCATCAAGGGCTCTTGGGGACCTTACAGGGATCAAGAAGCACTTTAGCAGAAAGCATGGCGAGAAGAAGTGGAAGTGTGAAAAGTGCTCAAAACGTTATGCAGTTCAATCAGACTGGAAAGCTCACTCTAAAATTTGTGGCACAAGAGAGTATAGATGTGATTGTGGTACTCTTTTCTCTAGGTAAGTACTACAATATACAATTCAGTTTCCACTCCATGATCAAAGTTCACATTCATTTCTTGTAGTTTTTAGTCATCTGTCTATAATTAAGCTTAGTAGCCCTCCTTAATGCCGATATGTTCTCCTCCTTGTGTGAGATAGATCAGTAAAGAAGGTATCTTGAGTTCTTGACTTCATCCTTATGATTTCAAAAGGTTTTCAGCAGACAGAGAGAGAGAGAGAGAGAGAGAGAGAGACTATATTAAGTTGTAAAATTATTATGGTTATCTTTAAAGTGCTAAGATTAAGAAACTTCAATGGTTAGATCTACTATGATTTTGTCCTTGGTGAAGAAAAAGAGCGAAAATACAAAAAGTAGCTAGACACGAGAGAGAGAGAGAGAGAGAGAGAGAGAGAGAGAGAATAAGTGGTACTTCACCACTGTTTGCTTCATTTTAATGGTTTCCTTTTTGTTTTCTTCTGCCTGTTTTTTGTGGTTACAGGAGGGACAGTTTCATCACTCACAGAGCCTTCTGCGATGCTTTAGCAGAAGAGAGTGTGAGAAATATCACTGTAAACCCACTTCTCTCCTCACAACAACCTGGGTCCTCAGCTTCACAGCTGATGAATTTACAAGCCCTATCAGTCAAAAGAGAGCAAGATCAAAACCAGCATCTTTTTAATCCAAGACCAGATAGTATACCACCTTGGTTAGCTTGTCCACCGATAGGAGAAGCCGGTCCAGGTCCACAACAAATCAATCTCTCACAATTATTCCCAGCAAATTTAGACCAGTCTTTTTTGCAACATGTAAACCCTAGCCCTAACCCTAATCTACTTCCTTCATTCCAGCCCTCATCAACAGCTTCCCCTCACATGTCTGCCACTGCGTTGCTGCAAAAAGCAGCACAAATGGGAGTGAGTATGAGCAAGCCTTCTCCGTCACCTGCTGCTTCTGCCATACTTAGACCCCACCAAGGTCACATGTCTGATCAAAACCCTGGTTTCAGTTCCACATTGCCAGCTACGTCCACAGCAAGTTCTGGTCTATTTTTGACATCACGTGAAGAGATGGGAAGTGGATTTGGTCATGGACTGGTATCTTTAGACAATAAAGCTGCTGCTGTCACCTCTGGTATCATGGAACATTTTGCTGCAGGTGAAGCAGGAGGGCCTTCTTTAGTCCATGATATGATGAGTTCTTTGTCTTCTGCGAGTGGGTTTGATGGTTCATCTTTCGATAATGAGGATTTCAATGGAATGTTGAATCCAAAAAGAGACGGCAGTAATTTTCAGGAAATCCTCTCCAAGTCAACAGAATCCCAATTTCGAAGGAGTGATGCTGCTGGTGGTCATCATGGAGGGGGTAATGATGGCTTGACAAGAGATTTCTTGGGACTTAAAGCATTTCCTCATAAAGACTTTCTAAATCTACCAGGACTTGATCGCATGAACGCTTCGACTTATGGGCAAAGGAACCAAAATCTACCACCACCTTGGCAAGGTTAGCATTTTATGGATATGTCACGTTACCTACTCTTCCGTTTCTTCTTCTTAGAAAGATAGAGAATGTCCACAGCCAAATATTTGTATGGCATTCCTAAAGTTGTATGAACACTAAATAGTGCTCCACAGTTTTACCTCGGGTTTTGATCCTTCCTTTTTCAGTTTTGGCCGTTTCATTATAGTATAATTTACATGTTGTGATAATTGATCAGAATTTGTTCATCTCTATAATAAAATATTATTTAGCAACCACGATGGAAGCCATGAGTCATTCCTTTTACTCGATACGGTCTGTTAACTATATATATTAGTATTCCTGTGCCAAATAGTCTTCTTTCTATCCTTACTATATTGATGGTCACTATTATCAACATTTCTGTTCCTTTCTGTAATTGTTTGCTCATACCTATCTTTTTCGTGTCACCTTATTTCTTATCGTAATATTTTTCTTCTTTTAAACATGACTGATTACCCTTTTTTTTTTTTTTGGTAAAATAATTAATCTAAGAGTATTACTTGATCAAAAGCATTATATATATGTGAAGAGTTTATTTGAGAATTTTAGAGGGAAGAGGAAGTTTGCGTGCAATTATGAAAATAGGGTGGGAGGATTAAGGAAGGTGAGGAAATGATGTTTGTTATTTATTTATTTTTAAGATGAATAGGAAATGATGGAGTTAATAACATAGTATGCAAAATTTATTTTTTCAACTTGCAATAAGCTAAGTGAAATTTGAAGAATGGTAGGTATGAGTTGAAAACTTTGTTGAGGTGTCATATTTTTGATAAAGCGACATGTATATCATGGGATGATGTGGCATTAATGAATAGAAAAAACACTTTTGAAAAGAAATTTTCTTACTTTTTTCTTCTTTTTTTTCCGATAAAATATAAATAGTACATTTTAGTTGTTTTCTCACGTCTTTTTACATTTTATGAGGAAAAAAATTCCCTCCACAAATATATATATATATTTATTCTTTTTCTAATTACTACTCATATCACATCATCGTTCAGTATCCATATTGTACATGCCATATCATCATTAAAATATAAGTGTTACGGCATTTTTTACCTCTAAAGTATTACAGTTTAATAATTTCGGATCCAATATATAAAATTATATAATATGAATTCTAAAATATAGAAAACTAAACAAATTTGATCCAAATTGTCAAATCCTCGTTATTTCTCAATTGATCATTACTTAAATTATGTTGGGTCCTCTTTCTTTTTAACATTTCTCAATTATGTCTCAAATCCTTCTTTCTTCATTTGCTTTTTTTTTTTTTTTCTTTCAGTTGTGTTTTGATTTTTTTTTTCTATGGTTACTTTTTTCTTTTTTTTTTTTTCAATTTTGTCATGATATTTTGTAGTTGTTTTTCTTTTTCTCGACATTTTTTTTCCTTTCAATTGCTTTCCCAAATATTAAGAAAAAAATGCCAACATGTTTTAAAATCACGAAAAAATTTTAAAATAACTTAGAATTTTTTTTTTTTGGATTTTTGGAATTTTTGAATAAATATTTTTTTTTCAAAATTTTATATAAAAAATATTTATCAAAAAATTCCAAAAATCCGAAAAATAAAATATATTTTTTCAAAATTTTATAAAAAAAATTATTCATTCAAAAATTCAAAAAAAAAAAAACCAAATAATTAATTTTTTTTCAAAATTTTATAAAAAAAATTTATTCAAAAATCCAAAAAATAAAAGAATTTTTTTTTGTTGCAATTATAAGTTATTTTAAAAAATTTCATGATTTAAAAACATGTTGGCTTTTTTTCTTAATCTTTGGGAAAGCAATTGAAAGGAGAGAAAAAAAAAGAATGTTGGGAAAAGAAAAACTACTAAAATAAATCATGAAAAAATTGGAAAAAAAATAGACAAAAGAAAAAAAAATCAAAACAAAGCTAAAAGAAAGAAAAAAAGGACCGAAAAGGAAAAAAAAATGAAGAAAGAAGGAATCGGGACATAATTGAGAAAGTTTAAAAAGAAAGAGGACTTAAAACAATTTAAGTAATGATTAATTAACGAGTTGCTCGTTATAAATAACGAGGATTGCATAATTTTGATCAAATTTGCCTATTCTTCTATATTTTGAAATTCAAATTATGCAATTTCATACATTGGATCCGAAATTGCCTAACTATAATATTTGGGGGTAAAAAATACTGTAATATCTTAAAATATATATCATTAAAGTTTTTAAATCATGTTTGCGGTCTCTTCAAATTTTACTTGATTGTTATTATTTTTAAAACCCACGCATTGGTTTAAAATAAAAAACTAAATGTTTTTGGAATCGATTCTAAAAATTTTCAAGAGATATTATGTTATTAATTAGGAAATAGTGTATTTGACTGCAAAAAGATTTTTCTTTTTATGTGTGCAGGATGCGAGTGGAAGTATTTGTTTATTTTTTTATTCAATGAAAGGTCTTGTAGGTTTTACTATACTCTAATCTCTTATCTCTAAATCTCTATCCACACGTACCATGATTTGTTATTGTGACCTATTGGTTATGAAAACCCTAACACTCTATTTGTCAAAAGGGATTGGAGGAAAGATAGATAAGAGGGGAGGGATTAAATGGGTCGATCGCTTGGCAAGAAAGATATAAGGATTCAAGAAAGAATTAAAGCGATTCCTCCCATCTTTGCTTACTTATAATTTCCAATCCTTCCATTTAAGCATATTGGCTCCTATCATTTCATTAGTTTTTTTAATTTTTAATGATTTCAATTTGAATGGATTGGCTCTCATCTTTCCCTCTCTTGTTAGCCAAGCAACTAAATGGATGGTAACCACATGTATTTATATGATAATTTTATATGAAAGTTTGATTGTATAGCATTACTCTCTATATATATACTCTTCCTCATTAAAACTAATTAGTTCCCTTTCATTCTCTCTCCTTCCCTTTACTCACTTCCTTTGCAAACATCGATCATGAAAAAATATATCCACATTTAGATGGATGTATGAGAGGTTTACATATAATATAAAATTGAAGAATAAGCGTGTGAGGATTTAGAAAATTGGAAGGAAAATAAGAAAAAGAAAATAATTTGCTTATATGTAAAATAAATGAAGGAAAAGAAGGATTTTTTTATGTAAAAAAAAAAAAAAAAAGAAAGAAGAAGAAGAAGAAGGAAGTTGAAGAGAAAAGAAAATAAGTTTTAAAAAATATTTTTATGACACAAAAATATTATATATGCTCTCAAAATCAGATGAAATTCAAACTTTGATTATATGTTTTCTAATATACGATCATATAAGATATAAATTATTAATAAGTCTAAATTATAGTAAAATGCATAGCTTATAATTTGAATTTGTATTTAATTTATACAACCAAACGAAATAATTATTTCTTTCTTTCTTTTTCTTTTTCTTTTCTTCTTTTTCTCTCTCTCTTTTTTTTTTTTTTTTTTTTTTGAGAAAACTCAATTATTATTATTATTTTTTTACTTTTCTCTCATTCCTACACTTTTTTTCTTAATTTTTTACATATTATTATTGGTTTACACATACATACATTAGATTAATATGAACTTCTCACTTTTTTTTTTTAATGAACTCACTCATCTCTTCATTTTAACCGATTGATCATCCAAAAAAATGATTGGCGTGAGCTTTTTTCTTTCTTTCCTCGATAAAAAACTACATAATAAGAAATAGTCTTTTCACAACTTAAATTTCATTCCACTTGTTTAAATATTTAAACTTGTAATCTCTTATTAAAATTCTCAATTCTCGATTTTTTTAATTATTATTATTATTATTTTGAGTAATGATGAAACATGAGAATAAGAATTGTACATGCATGTTGGAGTGTGCTTAGTTCCGAAAGAATGGGATATGTATACACATTAATGTTACATAGGTGCTTCATTCAAAATTGAATGTTATATTAGTTGTATAATACAATTTGACATGAGTGGTGCTATATATTGCTTTAGCCTTTAGACGCTGGAAAGTGGATGAAAAGATTCGTCAACAGTGCATAGATGTTTATATGTTTGCACGGAATTGGTACGCAGCTTGCATGCAAGACAAAGGCAGATGCTTTTTGATGCCTTAATGGGTGTCTAAAGTGGTTTCAATCCCGAGGTCCATGAAGCTTTTTTCTTGGGAGATAATGCTCACCTGTTTTCTCTCTTTCAAATTGCTTTGCCTTTTACCTTTCCCTCCTCTTTTTCTCCTTGTAAAGAATGACCCATTTTGTTTAAGCTCTTTAAAATAGGTCAACGTCGTCATGTTGTGATAATGGAGCCCAAATGAAACCATCCCTGCCGAAGTTTGGTATAACTCATTTTAGTACAAAACTAGTTTTATTGCCGATGCTTCGCTCCAGAAAAGACAATACCATGCCTTGTATCATTTATTGAATAAGATAAAATTGATACAAAGATGATTCAGAATAGTATTGGATTAATAACTCAAAAAATTAAGAAATAGTGCATATCTAATGCGCTAATGTATAGGACACATAAACCTTGTGTCCTCTATTTTAGGTTGTCTAGTGTAGGTCTGACAACTCTCTTACCACCATTCATAATCTAATCCACAATCTATTATTAAACTCAAGCGTAGGAAGTCATCTCCCTCCACTCTCTTGCAATATTTTTTTTAGGATGTTACAACAAATAAACAAAATTTTCTATAAAATTGAGCAAATTTAATTTTTACTTTTTTTTCCTCCTCCTTTCACATGAAGTGAATTTAAGAGGTTGCAACATTGAATATGCATATTATGGTTTCAAAAACCTGAATAAAAAAAACATACCATGATTCAATACATGCTTTATTGTGAGAATTAACTTTTTATATGCATAATAAATTGAACTCACATGATAGGGATGTATTTTATTTTTAGGATCTAACCTTTATCAATGTAGACTTTAGGCAACGCACATTGTTAAAAAAACATTTTTGACTCATCGTACATTGCTAAAAAAACAATTTTGACTCATCCAGTCTTGCTTCTTTTAGGACTC